GCACAGGATCGGGAACGTTGGAAGCACTGTATGACGCGTCTGCCTCCGCGACCCGAAAGGAGAAGCGGCGTTGGAAGAAGATACTATTATGGCCAGGGGTCGATAAATATGATAAACGTTGTCATAGCATCGAAAAGTCAGACATGCGTTTTTATAACGATTTTAATTACAATTTTCATACGATTAGCAATCATTTTTGCATTCGGCCAAAGAGACGCAAGACTATAATAGTTAGGCATAACTAATACTGATAGCTGTGTTCCTGGGAAGGTAGATTTGCAACAATGAATAAAGCAAGCAGACGACGCTCATGATTAGTGAATTTTTAGCTCAGCTGATAAAACGTCAGAACCGCAATCAAAAATTAGCAGCTTCATACCCGGCTCTTCATTCTTCGCCAATACTAGAATGTCTACTGCCATGTCTGAGAAGAACACCGAAAAATAAATCAAAGAGCCGCACTGCAAATCTACACCGTTAAAAAATTAGAAAGTGCTGGCTGATGGAGACAAAATGGAGATAAACACCGCATCGTTAATGGTATTAAACAACGAGGTACCATATAACGTTTGTAACGGATGTACAAGAAAGATTAATATATTCACAAATCAGAAAATTTCATTAATTTTGCAACTGTAGTCTCATACACAATGCAGTGAACATCTGCGTCTTGTACAATCATGATCACAAGCAAAAGCTTTAACTGAAAAAAAAAACGTTCAAAAGCATTACAATCCATTCACCATCTTGCTAATGATAGCTTATGACCGGGCTGGACGGGATTCAAAAATCGTCGCGGTTCATCAATCAAAACTATTTACTGAAGAAGACTGCCAGATATTGCCGAAACAGATCTTTTTGGGGCTAGTCACCACCTTACTGTAGATATTCATAGCAAGCAGAATGTTAATGAGAAGTAATGAGGTGTACGCAGCATCATACATATATTGAAGTTAGTTTTAACTTTGAAAGTTGAGAATTCCTAACAGTTAAGCATGTTTCAAACGAGTAATTCGTCGAAATTAACTTCGGTGACTGTATCAATTTTTTACTGTTTGAAATTGATTCTATATTTAATAAGAAAGCATATAACACAGTACAATAAATAGGCGTTTAACTTGTCAAAAACCCAGTCCCACTGCAGATGAATCGCCCCGTTGCTTCCAGTGTACGAGCAATTAAGGCAGGTCAGGTCTGCATCACGTTTGATCACTGACAGTGTATCGCACATCACCAGTAGGTTACAGTACATCTTTGCTCATAATTACTGATGCTTCATGAACAGGCACTCATCAATGTATGAGTGAAACAACCAAAATATTGAAAGGCATAGCGAATATGTTTAAAAAACGCTGGATTTCACTAAACTCTGCTTATCCCTCTTCCACCCAATTCATCGTACGAAACCATATTTTTGTGTCATAGACCCGGCATGCCGTCAAACAAATAAGCACAATGGTATACATACGAAGGCATGACTCTCGCTTCGCCAAAAAGTGATTGGCAGTCTCATGAGCATCATTTATCAGCAAAACTATTCTTCTTCCGACACAGAAAAGAAGAACAAGCGTCTGGTAACTAAGGGTATTCTGTCAAACTACGGTGTTCTGGACTTGGTCAAGTCTAACGGGAATCGTCCGATGAAACCGAATTTTAACGGCTTACACCTGGGATGCCGATCTAGATATTGCAGATCTCTTCATTTTCTTACACAATGGAACCAAGTTACTGAAATTATGGAACTCCACACAAAAGATAGCTGGAGAATTTCCACTATTCGTTGGTGTTCATTGTGGTCTCCGTGAACGACCCTACATCGGTTTCCTTGTTATTGTCATCGAAACACTGCAGATTTTGTTTTCAAGCAAACTGCCATTCACAACTTAGCTTTCTTGCTCATTCTTTTGTGTCAATTTGCTCTGATTCAGCTACATGGTACGTACAGCGTCGTACGGATATAATATGCAAAAGAAAATTGACATATAGTAAAACTGTCATAATCACTTAATGCAGCGAAGTCAGAAAACGTCATCGAATCGCATTATGCACAGATTACGTCAGAGAAATTTCTCGCAAAATGAACTGTCAAGGCTGACTGAAATAATTGGTGAAAGATACACGTTTCAAAAATAAAGATACCGCGTAAGCTGCAATCCAAGTCGTATGCATCTGAAACACCGAGAGTAGGTTTTGCCAAACCCGAGACAAAATGAACAGAACCAACGACCAACCGCCAAACAAAAAAGCCAACGATGTCGATTTCTAAAATAATGACCAATAAATTTTTTAAAAATAATGTCGAGAGCAGCGTAGGATTTACGTTTACCTTTGGTAGAGAACGGAAAATAATAAAAACGAGGACGAGCAGTGAGCCGACGATGCTCAACAGCGACCCGCTGATGTAATAAGTAACCGCAGTACGACTGAGCCATTTCGCAGCGAAGAACAGCAACAAACCGCCAACAAATAATACGACCAATCGAAAGTCAACAGCTGAAAAAAACATGCATATATTAAAGACGGTTTACAAGGCACACAACTCTGAAAAAACAGAATAGATCGAAGTGAAACAACAAAGCGAGCAATGACGAAACGTCAACACCAACGGATGTCTACATTATGACGCAGGTTAATTTCATAAATCTTTTAATCTCAAAAACCTGAGTGCTTTAGTAACATAAATTCATGGACTGAAAGTGACCTCGTTCCACTACTCGAAAGAGCATTTTACTGCTTTGAACGGAATCACGAGCGAATTTATTTTTGGCATCTTCCTATAAAGTTTTTTAGCGGTTGCCAGTTTATTTGTACATTTTTTAATCTATCTATTGCCATCGACACAGTACACAAGAGTGATATTAAATATTTTATTCCCGACGTTCCGTTTTTTCCTAATATACCATCAACATTATCAAAATTTACTAACAATCAGGGCAAATGATTAAAAACCTGTTCATTCTGAATAATAATAAAAAACAAAGAAGAGGTATCAAAGCACGGTTACTCGAGTCTTCGACGTATATGCCGTAGGCAAGCAAAGTATCGATGCCCAAAAATGTTTTTCGAAACGGATAAAGCTGCATCGACTTCCACGAAGACCATTTTCGAAAAACGTCAAGAATACCCTTGCCGTTGTATTCTTCGATTAATTTCGCTTTGTCTTGATTTTGATAGAACGTGAAAATCGGCTCTGACACGGTGAAGTTCAAAACAACCTAAAACAAAAAAGTTATAAGAATTTCAAGCAACATGAACCAAAAGAATAAACTCAACTAATTGCCACTTCAATGATTCTGCATGGTAGTCTCTTTCTATAACTGTTGACGTTTCAGGCAAGTTATTAAACATTGTGTCTGCCCTGAGGATGACCAATGCAACTTTGCTGACACGTCGGCAGTTGTAATAAAGACTATGATCAGTCTGTTTTCTTGAACACTACCAGAAGCATTAAACTAGCAATTTATTGATGAACAAAAATAATTAGACATAGAACTGAAATCAGTTTCACGAATAAACTAAAAACTATCATTTTAGAAAACTGAGGAAATCAGCAAAATAACTGTATGCAAAATACCAACTAACAGAATGCTTTCCTCTGTTCCTAGAATAGATGGCAACAATAGGCGTGACTTCTCAACTGGAAGGTAATACAAGAGTTTGAATTTTCCTTAAAAATGTTACAACCGGCCACTATAATACCACGAATTTTGTTACCGTTTGCCAAACTCGAGACAAATGACAAAGTATGCATGTCCGCACAGAGTGAAAATCTAGAATTAATGCAGTGAGAAGCCTGAGTCAAAATTAAGGGAAAAATTAAGGGAAATAAGGCCCTTGTTACAGAAACCAAACGGCTTGATTACCTAAGGTACGAGCCGTACAGTAACAGATACCAGTTTAAACTGTTCTGTAAAAGTAAAACATAACATGCAGAGTAGCAATACAGTGCGCTGCGTCACTGCAGTTCCCTCATGGAAGCAAACATATATATCAAACATGCCTTAGAAGTCTTCCATAAATAGTAAAAATTTGCATTTTCGCCATCGAATCTCCAAACGTCCAAATGTCCTACGTTCTTCGCTGGCACATACGTGATAAGCCTTGTAATCTCTGAAACAACATATAGTGATATACTGATAGGTAACGGTTCAAAATACTACAAGCTTCAAGGTCAACTCGACTGAGTCAGTTATGAAACAAAATGCAAATATGACGCTGAAAAGGAAACAAACAGCATAACGTTAATAGGAATATTGCCAAAAGTGGCTATTAAGGAATGGTGAAAAACAGCTGCTAAAGTACGGCAGTGCCAGAACTATTCCGAGCACGGGCTCTACGAACATTTCTGTAGACACGAGAATTGGTGCCAAAATTCACAATACTACTGCCCACGAACCACATGTTTCACCTGTTCGCGTTCAGTTTCTCTTGTTGTCATTTCCGCCGAGCCAGACTTATTTCCCTCATCCAGAGAATGAACTATATGGTTCTAGACCGAGTGATCCTACCGATCGTACCCATAAGTGAAATCGATTCTATCGCAAAAAAGCGTATATACCCAGTCACGCAGATCCAATGGTTGCTGACGAATATGTGTCATCTGTTAAACAAAAAATGTTAGAGAGCTATCTGTACAATTATTCAATCGTTTTTACTTCAGTTTTCACCCTAAGGAATACGGGCATACAAGAACAGAAAAGGATAAGTACAAACGTTAGTCAACGTGAAACACTTCATAAGGGAGACAACGCGAATGGTGATTTTGTCAAACGAAGTCAAGATTACCAAAGGTTTCTCCACAGTTATTGTTCTTATACGCTGGGATCGATTACGCACCTAACTGAAAAGGATGACCGATTTCCTATAAGCCTCAGTCGAATATTCGCCTGGCACGTAACCTGACGGAGTGCTTTGGCTGTTGGACAGGCAGGCTTTTAGCTATTGATGCAAATGATGAGTTGGATCAGGCAGTATCGATTTGCCAAGTTTAACCTCTGTTCTAATGAGATTCTTTATCAGGGTAATTTATCAGGGTAGTATCAAGTCTATCTAACAAACAGTTGCATATGCGACCCAGCAATTTCACCAAGCTTCTCATACGATGGAGCTGTTTCATAATGAGGCTGTAAAGTTGACGGAGGCACCGTATGGAACTAGAAACAATATGCAAACTCTCATCAATTCTTTCAACACCTCTGGAAAGACGCATAGCCCTTTCACGCGTCCAAGATCGAGATGATAGCGTTGAATGCTGCTAATCTATTTTCGACGTTTAAAGGGCACACGGATATTTGAAAGACTATTATGGAAACTAGTCAGAATCAACGTAAGGCTAACACGAACAACGAAGTTTTCCTCTATTCAAGCCAATACAAAGGACTGGCGCAGCTGAAAGGACATCATTAATCACTAAAGACTTTATTAGATAAACCTTCAATTACAGCATTACATAAATGTCAATACACTTTTTCTCTTCACGTTATTAACAAGAATGTTTCAGAGTTGTTACACCTTATGAACAAAATAAACCGTAAAGACTAAATACTTTGGAAGCAATGGCTAAAACAGCGAATAAAATATTGTTCGAATAAAATCATGTTTGAAAGCTTTAGCAATCAGTCATTATGTCTGTTCAGCAATCAGTGAGTGAACAATTAGTTAGCAGTAGGACGCCATGCCGTCAAAATACATGCACAAAAGAAACAAAAACAAGAAAACTTACGCAACGAATATGAAGGAATAGACCGAAGAATAACCAATTAGTGATATTAAAGAAGTTGTTATTATAGCCGATCGAAACATAACTTCTCTCAGTTTCGTTCGATCTCATTTCCAACCAACTAGAAACCGTGTCATTCATCATGCACTTCTATTTAAGCACTGACACCCAAGTCAAATTAACAACTTTCACTCACTTCGTTCTGTAAATCCAGTGTCTGTGATCAAGAAACTATACACTTGCAAAACAGATGATAAAGTCAGATATAAAAGAGTTGGCCACCACGAAACGTACATTTAAAAACGCTTCATTCGTACTTATGCCAAAACATTGTGATGAAAAACGATATGCATCGAGAAAGACAAGCACAGTAGAACAAAAAAATGTTTTCAGGTACAAATAATTAGAATACTAATCTGAATTGAAAATCGTACGATTTCTTTATGCGGGAGGTGTTATAATATTTAGGAAAGTCACAAACGGGAAGACAACGCATAAAATGGTCTTTAATTAGGAACATCTGACGTTTCGGACCAAGCTCGATTCGTCTTCATAGTACTAGTCTGAATTTTCATAATGAATAAATATTTAAATTTCATTAAAATTACTTGCTTCAACAACGAATTTGCTTTCAGCACAAAGCGGAATTTTCTCCAAAGTAATCAAAGAACACGTTCGCAAAATTATATACAAAGAAATGTCTTCGTCGGTCTGAACATTGTGTCGCGAAAATTGTATGATCATTTATTTATACTCTACCGACACTCTGAAACTGTTGAAGATGGTGATCTGCCGTATGATAAATGGCATTTATTTAGTTTCTGCTCCTAGGATGAATTAAAACCGTCCTCAAAATACTTCGATTTAGCGCCAGTTGTCATTACATCAGTACTTTTTATCAACATATGGTTCGTAGAAACTGACGTTTTTCCTATATGTTTTACGGCACACCAACAGCTTATTGTGTGTAATAATGGTGTAGATTTTTCAGTATCAATGATACACGAGTAAACTGGATCAGCGAACTCCAGCGATTTCTCAACAGTTGCCACAAGCTGAGCACTTTCTCAGAGGTGCTTACCCAAGGCATGAAGTCACAACGTAAATCTTCTAACTTAAAATCATTGATTCCGGAGCACCAATTTTCTAATACACTTGCGCTGACGTAACGTTACAAGGTTCTATATTTGAATCATACCGTGTTCTTCCCTTACTTTAAAAGCTGCGATACACACTTCGTTTTCTGTTCCCTTAATCTCTTCCTCCAATCCGTTATACTTACACAGACTATTGGACACTTCTTAGCTAAAACACGTCTTGTTAGCCTATATCCTTAAGCATTTCTTGGCGAGCATTCATCACTTCCAACAGTCTTGCCGAATTCCAAGCTTATGGCAGCTTCTTTGACTTAATCCACCGCAGCACTAAAGTCTATCACCTGTTGCTTTAACACGAGTCTTCGTGCGGTTGCTCGTGACAAAGGAATTCCTCGATGCACTCACTCGAAAGTCGAAGTATATTGTCATTCATATCAAGAGGAAGGGCCTAATTGTCCTTCAAGGCTTTAGACTACCCATTTTATATTGAAAGAAGCAGATGTCAGAACAATTTGCTTTCCGACTAAAAATTCGGCTTTGACGCTTCATCAGACTTTTGAAGCCATCGCCTTGACCATTGCTTTTGCTTCCTTCACTCGCAATTCTTTTTTTTACATTATTAAAATTAATATTCGTATTAAATGCTCCATACTTCGAACTCGTCGCTTAAATACAGCCTTCTTTGCGACAGCCAGTCGAACATTTGGGGTCCACCAAACAATTTCTTGATATCGAAAAGGGAGAATTCAGATGCAGCCGCTAGTAAGCCGCTCTTAAAGGCATGGTTTAAAATGTGATTGGATGTTCTTTTTGTGTCTCTTGCTATGAAGAAAATAACGTAATAATAAAATAACGTTTTGCATTTTGTTCTCTCGTTGCCGACTACCTATAGTATTTCACTGTTCACAGCGGAGGGCACAAACAAAAACGGGACAGTCGGTTAACTCCTCAGTGTTTTTTTCAACTGGAACAGCAACTACAGCCTGTCGCAGGTCAGACTGTATTGTCAAATCGATCAACAATTCCTGTTCAGTTGCTTTCCTGTAGGAGAAATAGTGCTGCATGTTTCGATGCTCAACGAAATTGTTCATAAGGGACAGTTCTATATTACCTGATGACGATGCTGCTGGGGGATATAGGGTTCGTTAGTTTCCATACGTCTATCTGCCTTTCAGTGTCTGATCCGCCATGTGCCTTGAAGTCGCCCCATTAAAATATAGAATTCCCTATTGGCGGTTTCTTACAGAGCACCATATACTTCCTCGAAGTAAAACCCATATCCGCTCCACC